GATGGATGATGGATGATGGATGGATGATGGATGGATGGATGATGGATGGATGATGGATGGATGGATGGATGGATGGATGGATGGATGATGGATGGATGGATGGAGGATGGATGGAGGATGGGTGGATGATGGATGGATGGATGATGGATGGATGATGGATGGATGATGGATGGATGATGGATGGACGGATGGATGATGGATGGATGATGGATGGATGGATGGATGGATGGATGGATGGATGGATGGATGATGGATGGATGGATGGACGGACGGATGGATGGATGATGGATGGATGGATGGATGATGGATGGATGGACGGACGGGATGGATGGATGGACGGATGGATGGATGGATGATGGACGGATGGATCCAGCAGTCTCTGTAGCTGCATATCAGAGCAGTCAGGAAGGAGCAGCAGCCCTCCTGCTGCACTCTGTAGTGTTTTGTGCTCTTCCATACCCCCATAAATCACAGCTGTAGCCAGAACCTTGATCCCACTTAACGTGCTAAGGGAGTCCCTTCCTACTACAGCTGTACCAAAAGCCAAAGGGAACTAATGCAGCTTTTGGTATGATCACCTGGATTAAGCTCCCTAAATATGAAACAAACATAAAGGGCCTCATTTGCTTCAGCTAAATCTCAACCTCCACAGCAAGATTTAACCATTCATCCTTAACAGCAGCACCCAAGTTCAGCTCCACCAGCTCCTGCAGTAGAGGTGCTCTTGGATTTTTTACAGCTTTCTTCCGGTGGGGAAAAAAAATCCCAAACCAAGAAAACACATTATAAAAATAACATCATTTGGAACATTTCACTTACAGCTATAAATACAGGGTTCTGCCTGGGCCATGTGAGCTTATGTACCAAGAGCCAGCTCCACGAGAACAATGAGTATTTCATCATCTAAATTTAATCTCCACAGAAAACACGGCAACACAGGAACACAGTTCTACCAGCCTGGTTCACTTGTGTGGTCTCACTGCTATCAATGGGTCTATTCACGTGAGTCAGGAATGAGGAATGGGATCCAAGTGCATTACATCAGCAAAATTAAGAGTGCCCCAAACTACCCACAACATATATGCTGGTTACATTTAAAAAATAAAAATAAAAATAAAAAAAAAGACAATGAGACATGTTGTTGAGGAAAAGCTTTTTTCCCAGACTCCACACTGTAAATGGATGGTCTCAACGGCCACGTTTTTATCACACACTGAAATCACAGAGTCGCCAACTTGGCCCATTAAAAGAAGAAAACAACCCTCTTAGAATTTTTTTATATGAGAACAAAAATCTATCTCATTCTGCTATTTCCAGCAAAGCTTCTTATTTCACAGAAAGTTCAGACTTTGACCCATGTATTAAATTCCCTGTAGAGGCTCAGAGCATCTTTCTTTGTTGAATAAATCCTCACAAATATAGCCTTGAACTGAAATCTAAAGTTTCAAATGGTTTTCTGTAAGAAAAGGTGCATTGTAACACTTGGCTAATATTTGCACTGTTATAAAAACTCCTAAATAGAACAAATCTAAAGTCCAAGGTCCTCCCTCTTACTGAAATTCTGATAGCCTGTGATGAAAGGGTTACAATTATTAATGTACAACTACACATGTAAAAATGATGGCAAACACTGGAAAATGTATGACTTTTCTCAAAAAAATTCATGAAAACATGGGAAACCACTGAAGCCATTATACTCCAAAAAAAAAAAAAAAAAAAAGCTAGAGTAGCAGATTTTCCACTATAGAAAGAATATATGAAAAAGAGAACATGAAAACCTACATGATGCTGGAGAAAGCCAGCACGTATCAATACATCTTCATATTCTGTGACAATAAATTTTTATGTACTGTATCAATATATATTTATACACTATAATACATATACTGAATAATTTGTGTAGCTATTCACATATTAGTTTGACATTATCCTGAGCAAAATAACAAAAGTCATGCTGAACTCTGTAAATGAAAAAATATGTATAGTAAAAGCATTTTTCTTAAAGAAAGCAGAATCTGTCAGTGTAATTTCAGAAGACATGTTTGGCTGATAAACATACAAGTTGGACATGCTCTGAATTCCCTAAAATATCTGTGGATTCCACAAGTGGAAATTTTAAAAAATTATAGCAATCCCACACTAATCTTCACATGCTACAGGATGAAAATTTATTAATTCAGAAATCTCAAAGTCTAACTTAAAAAATGGGGAAATCATCATAAAAGAAGTGATTCTAATGGGGTCCTTTGGGACTAGTCTTAGCCCTGTGCTATTTAAAATTTTGATTAGTGACCTAGAAACAATATGTAGTTATTATTGTAGAGGTTTGAAAGCTATGGAGAAGCGGCAAATAATGAGAATTGATCATTAATACTAGCAGATACTTCTGGTTTCTGTATGGAACTGACAGGTATTGTGATGAAAATACTAAGCTAAGGATCTAGAAAAAAAGCTATGTGCCATTTCAGCCTAAAGGGTTAAAGTGAACCCTGGATATAAAACCACACGAAGTTTCCCAGAGTAGGAGGGATTAAATTTCACATTCATAGTCTGGTCCTGCCCACGGATGAAAAAGGGTTTTGATAGATTGGCCAAGATTCAGAGATCCACAGCCCTCCTCAATACCTGCACTAGGCTAAGCCCTCACATCAACACACTTCTGCAGTTTAAAGGATGTTTCAGCTTGTGGTGGCTGTCAACAGCTCAGAAAGTCCACCAAGAGTTTCTAGAAGTCAACACTCTGATTGTTTTACCTTGCTAGTTCTCCACTCCCAGCCATCTCCTATCTGCTGCGAATGTTTAACAAAGTCTTCACAGCACTGCTTGAATCTTTTCTCCCCCAAAAAGAAGTCTTCTTCACCTGCCATGCTGCAGCACACCTGCAGAGCAAACCAAAGGTTAGTGCTGGCAGATGAGAACACCACCAAGAAGTTTCACTAATTCATAGCAACTGAACAGTAAAATAACAAAGCACAGGAGGAAAAAAACTATTGCTTTAAATAGCACAAAGACTTTTCTTCAATTCCATCACGGAATCATGGATTTGCAGAACAGCTGAGGCTGGAAGAGACCTCTGGAGACCTCTGGTCCATTCCCCCTGCCCTCAGCAGTATCAACTGCAGCAGGAAGCTCAGGATGGTTTACATTTGGGTTTTGGTTATCTCCAAGGATGCAGATGCCACAGCCTCTCTAGGAAACCTATTTCGGTGCTCAATTACCACAACAGGGAACATTTTTACTTCTGTTTAACTGGAAGCATTTAACTATCAGTTTGTGCTTGCTGCCTCTTGTGTTGTCTCAACTGAAGGAAGTCTGGCTCCATCTTCTTTATTCCCTCCCACCACGTATTTATGGACATTCAGAAGATCCCACTGACCATTCTTTTCTCCAAGCTGATTTATCCCAGCTCTCTCAGCCTTGCCTTATACACCAAACACCCTTAACCATCTTTGGGGCCCCTTTGCTGGACTGTTTCCAGTATTGTGCTGTCTTCCCTGTACTAGGCAGCCCAGAGCTGCACTTTTAACATGTATTTCCTTAATAGTGCAGTGCAGCTCTCTTTGGCCTAAAAATATGGCTTCAAAACTTTCCCTGTCCTTCAAAGGGCTTTCTCACAGGATTTTAAAGATATTTTTTTTCTCAGAGAATTTGGTCATTTTTACTCAACCCCCTCTCTCTCCTTGCCCATTTCAATGAGGAAGTGTCACAAACACAGCTGGTTTAATGTGTTTGTGGAGATCAGGCAGCACTGCAGCACCACAAACAAACCACTGAATCACATAATGGTTTGGATGGAAAGAACCATAAAACTCTTCTTGTTTCATGGCAGGGACACCTCCCACTGTCCCAGCTGCTCCAGCCCTGTCTAGCCTGGCCTTGGGCACTGCCAGGGATCCAGGGGCAGCCCCAGCTGCTCTGGGCACCTGTGCCAGGGCTGCCCACCCTGCCAGGAAGGATTTCTTCCCATAATCTACTCCAAACCTACTCTTTACAATTTTAAAGCCATTCCCCCTGTCCTGTCAGTGGCTATCACAACAATAACCTGTAGCCATTACAACCAGATCACACCTCTCCTTAACAAGAAATACAATTGACACAGCATCTCACGCAATGCTCATTATTTTTCAGTATTTGGCCCTGAGTCACATCATCATCCTGTCTGCCCATAACAAAAATTATTTATTAACACTCGAAACACATTACTCTCAACAGCAGTTAACCCAAGGCTCTGCGCTTCTTGGATGCCAGGAAAGGGGAAAAGCAGGAAACAGACAGTGCCGGTGTTTCTGCAATTCCCCTGATGGAGGAATGCAAATCACCCTCACTGAAAAACGTGAGGAGCACACAGCTCCCTCGCAGGGCTGAAACAGAGCTGTGTGCTTCTGGAACACGGCAGTGAACAATCACCGAATCCCAAACCCCTGGGGCTGGAAGGCTCCTCTGGAGCTGCCTGAATTCCTTCATCACCATCCACTGCCTCCAGCTGAAGGAACGGACGGGATCCCCCCTCGGCTCCCTGCTCCACACTCCCTGACGGAGCCCCGAGCCGAGCGGCCCGTCCCTGCCCGGCTGCTCGGAGGCCCGCACACATTTTATTTATTTTTCCTCCTCTCCTGGGGTCTGCCCGGCCCCGGCGCACAGGGTCGGGGAGAGCGGGAGGGACCAGCCCCGCTCGCCGCCCCTCACGTACCGTGCGCTCCTCCTCCTTTTTCCTTTTCCTCCTCTTTTTCCTTTTCCTCCTCCTCCTCCTCCTCCTCCTCCTCCCGCCGCCCCGGGCGCGCGCCGGCCCCGCCCCGCTGCGCATGCGCGGCGCCGCCCCGCGCGCGGGGGCGGGAAAAGGGGGCGGGAACGGGGCATGAGGGAGTGAGGGAATGGGGGAATGGGATGGGAAGGGTGAGGGGATTGAAGGGGATGAGGGAGTGCGGGAATGAGAGGAATGAGGAAATGAGGGAGCGAGGCGATGAGGGAGTGAGGGGATGAAGGAATTAGAAGGATGGGGGGATGAGGGAGTGAGGAGATGGGGGATGAGAGGGATGAGGGAGTGAGGGAATGAGAGGAATGAGGAAATGAGGGAGCAAGGGGATGAGGGAGTGAGGGGATGAAGGAATTAGAAGGATGGGGGGATGAAGGAGTGAAGAGATGGGGGATGAGAAGGATGAGGGAATTGAAGGGGATGAGAGAGTGCGGGAATGAGGGAAAAGGAGCGAGGGGGATGAAGGAGTGAAGGAGTGAGGGAATGCGGGAATGAGAAGGATGGGGGGATGAAGGAGTGAGGAAATGGGATGATGTAATGAAGGAGTGAGGGGATGAAGGAGTGAGGAGGATGAAGGAGTGAGGGAATGGGGTGGATAAGAGGGATAAGGGAATGAGAAGGATAGGGGGATGAAGGAGTGAGGAGATGGGGGATGAGAGGGATGAGGGAGTGAGGGAATGAGGGAAAAGGAGCGAGGGGGATGAAGGAGTGAAGGAATGCGGGAATGCGGGAATGAGAAGGATGGGGGATGAAGGAATTAAATAGTGAGGGGGATGAGGGAATGGGAGGGATGAGGGAGTGAAGGAGTGAGGGAATGAAGGGAATGAGAGAATGGGGGGATGAGAGGGATGAGGGAATGAGAAGGATGGGGGGATGAAGGAGTGAGGAGATAGGGGATGAGAGGGATGAGGGAGTGAGGGAATGAGGAAGGAGCGATGGGGGTGAGGGTGTGAGGGCATGGGATGAGAGGGATGAGGGAACGAGAAGGATGGGGGGATGAAGGAGTGAGGAAATGGGGGTTGAAGGAATTAAGTAGTGAGGGGGATGAGGGAATGAAGGAGTGAGGGAATGAGAGAATGGGGGGATGAGAGGGATGAGGGAATGAGAAGGATGGGGGAATGAAGGAGTGAGGAAATGGGGGATGAGAGGGATGAGGGAGCAGGGGAATGAAGGAGCAATGGGGATGAGGGATGAGGCAGGATGCAGGGAATGAAAGGGATGAGGGCGATAAGGGGTACGAGGGGATAACGGGAACGAGAGGAACGAAGGGGATGCATGAGGGGCTCTAGGGGATGAAGGCCGAGGGGGCTGCAGGGTTGAGGGGGACAGCGGGGGGCTGAGAGCCATTGTGGAGGGATGTGAAGGTCCTGAGGGCCATGAGGGACCCTGGGGGCTGCGGCTGCCCACCCCAGCACCACCAGATGTGGGTGCCCAGCCAGCCCTGGAGCTGCCATCCTCCTCCTCCTCCTCCTCCTGTCCTCTCCAGCTCAGCCCAACACAGGTTGTTTCTGCACCAAGTGCTTGGCAATATATATATCACCTGCCTGTCCCCTCTGTATAAATATATAATGCTGTTACTTTTTGAGGAGGAGGTGGTGTGGAGTTAAGGTGGCAGGGGGGTCACCTGGGCACTTCCTAGGCCATTTCCAGAAGGTGCCAGCATGTATTCCAGTGTTCCTTCCATTACCCAGCTGCGCTGTTTCTGCAATTGCCCGTAGGTCTGAGAATTTGGGAGGAGCATCAAAGCTGTTCTGCTATGCAAATGCTGTTGGAATTATTTTTAAGTCAAAGAGTCTATTAAACCGTAGGTTTTCCAGTGGTAAAGTCTTGCCTGGCCCAGCTAAGCAGTCCAAGATAGTGTGTGCAGAATGCACTACAACAGGATAGACATAAAATATTTGTTTTACCTATTTAGCTATAAACTGCTGCTTTAAATATTCTAGGATTGTTGTGTGTACAGCAAACTACAGCTACCCCACCAGTCTGAAGACCACACTACTCAGGGAAACCTGTGTGCGAATGGTGTGTTGTGATGTGACATTTTCTCAACTGTGCACTTCTTAATTTCCTTGTAGTTTGCTGGGAGTGGAGAGCTTAGGAGGGCAAAAGCTTTTTCTTCTTTTTCTTTTTTCCTTTTCCTTTTCCTTTTCCTTTTCCTTTTCCTTTTCCTTTTCCTTTTCCTTTTCCTTTTCCTTTTCCTTTTCCTTTTCCTTTTCCTTTTC